GAGCAACAAAGATGATGAGGGGACTGGAGACTAAAACATATGAAGAACGGTTGCTGGAACTGGGTATGTCTAGTTTAATGAAAAGAAGGACTATGGGTGACCTGATAGCAGTCTTCCAAAATCTCAGGGGTTGCCACAAAGAAGAGGGAGTCAAACAATTCTCCAAAGCACCTGAGGGTAAGACAAGGAGCAATGGGTGGAAACTAATCAAGGGGAGAAGCAACTTGGACTGAGGAGAAATCTCCTGACAGCTAGAAAAAACTAACCAGTGGAACAACTTGCCTCCAGAAGTTGTGAATGCTCCAACACTGGAAGTTTTAAAGAAGACGTTGGATTATGATTTGTCTGAAGTGATGTAGGTTTTCCTGCCTAAGCAGGGGGTTGGACTAGAAGATCTCCAAGGTCCCTTCCAACTCTGCTATTGTATTGTACATGTGCGCAAAACTTTTATTTTAATTTTTAAAGCATTTTTTACTCCCAGTTCTCCCAAAGTGGAGAACCGGTAGTTTAAAAATGCTTTAAAAGCTTTTTTAAAGGTTCTGAGGATTGTGCGGTGCAGCTGATTGTTGCAGAGCTGATTGTCGGAACTTTTTTAAAAAACTTTTTTTTAGCATTTTTTTTATTATTGGTTCAGGAGAACCGGCCCAAACTGGTAGCATTTCACCCTTGGCTTAGTCCTTCTGGTTCCTTCGCTGCTTTCAACCGGGAAGCTGCCGAGAGTTCTTGAGATGTTTTAAGTGAATAAATAAAATTCTCTCCTTTCCCCCTCCCTGATTGTGAAAGAAGAAGGGAGACATTTTGGTATCTGGATTGCAAAACTCTGGATGAATTCCAGCTAGATGGCAGCAGAAAAAATGCAGCAGACACAATTCCCTCGTAATGCCTTGTTAGTTGTTATCTGGGTCTTTGGGAATGAAAGCTTTTGCTTGGGCCCCAGAGAGTTCTGCTTCTATCCCTGCCCGGCCCCCTCTTTAGAAATAGTTAGCTGGGGGCCTGATGGGGAAGGGAACTCCCTTTGGCCTGAATGTGAGGTGCTTTTTTTTGCACCTTAAGAAAAGGGCGCCCTAGTTTGCACAGCTGTGCTCAAATTGAAAAGATGTGTTTTCTCTTGTGAACACCTATAGCCGTGATGCCACATGTGTCAGAGGTGGTACGCAGCACCCTCTCTGGGGCATGCGTGCATGCCTCACACTAACCAGCTGGTCTTTGGGTCTCTGACATGCGGGGCTGGGGTGGATGCACGGTGGCTGCACATGCATTGCATTTTGGGGGTTCGGGCATGCGCATTTACACATGCATGGTCTGGGCACTCAGTCCAGAAAAGGTTAGCCATCACTGACCTAGAGATTGTGGGGTGGCCGACACATGCTCCTCCTCCTCCTCCTCCTCCTCTCCAGGGTGAGCTCTCCAGCCATTCACAACTTGGAGCTTCGTTCTCTGCCATTATGCAGGTGGTCCTCGGCTTACAACAGTTCATTTAGTGGCCATACAAAGTCACAACGGCACTGAAAAAGTGACTTATGGCCATTTCAGCATCCTTATGATCACATGATGAAAATTCAGAGGCTTGGCAACTGCCTTGCATTTATGACGGTTGCGCAGTGTCCCGGGGACAAGCCAGGTCGAGGGAGAAGCCAGATTCACTTAACGACTGTGTGACTAACTTAACAACTGCTGTGGTTCACTTAACATCTGGAGCAAGTAAAGTTGTAAAATGGGGCAAACTCCCTGGCCTGGCAGAGCATTGCTGGGTTTGACCAAAGGGAGTGCTCTTTCATTCTCACATGCCTGTGTTCTGGTTGGTTGCAGGAGCCTTTGGTGTTTGCTGAGCAGCCTTCTGTGAAACTCTGTTGCCAGTTGTGTTGCAGTGTGTTTAAGGATCCCGTCATCACGACCTGTGGGGTAAGGAGCCGAACCAAGCTGCAGTTCCAGTCGTGTGGAGGATGAAGTCGGGGTGGGACTGAATTGGAGCCTGTTTGGGGATCACTTTGGCCATCCAGTCCAACTTCCTGCTCAGGGAAATAATCCAAATGAATGCATCTTTCTTTCTTCAGCTCCGGAATCTTCCCTAGTAGGGAGGTTCGACCGTTGTGGGCCAGGGGTGTCGAACTCGATTTAATTAAGGGCCACATCAGGGTTATATTTGACCTCGGATGGGCATGGCCAGTGTGGGGGTGACAACCTCAACACACTTGTGTCAGTCATGGGGGGGTCAGTGGTGGCCCAAGTGCTCTGCCAGGGAAAATGGGCTCCTGACCTCCGTTTTCGGCTGCGACGGCCTCCTGCAACCCTCTGCCAGTGAAAACGGGCTCCATTTTCACTGCCAGAGGGTTGCAGGTGGCTGTCCCAGCCAAAAAAAACGGAGATTGGGAGTCCATTTTCACTGGCAGAGGCACCCTGGGCCGGTCCGCTGTTTCTAGGGCGACCCTGCAGGCCAGATCCAGCCTGCGGGCCTTGAGTTTGACACCCCTGGTGTAGGCTGAAATTCCCTGCCCCTCCCCAACACACCCTTTCTGCCAGCCTCAAATATCAGCCCTTCCCTTTCCTTCTACTCATCCTGATCCCCTGGAGGAAACAGGCAAGAAAGGACCTACCGTATTTTTCAGAGTATAAAGACGCACCTTATTCCCTCAAAAAAGAGGGTGAGAATCTGGGTGCATCTTATACACTGAATACAGCATTTTTGGCCTCCCAAAACCCCACCCTCTTCGCAATAATGGCTGTGCATAACCTTTAGGAGGCTTCCAGAGTGCTCCTGGGGAATGGGGGGGGAGGGGCAGAAATGAGTGAAAAATGGGCCGTTTTTTGCTCATTTTTGCCCTCCCCCAGCCCCCAGGAGCACTCTGGAAGCCTCTTAAGGCTATGCATGCCCTTTTTTTTTTTTTACAAAAAACAGGCCCATTTTTGCGAAAAACGGGCTGCTTTGGGAGGTCTGCAGAGTGCAAAAAAAATTTTTTTAATTTGCCTCTTCAAAATCTTGGTGCGACTTATACTCTGGTGCATCTTCTATCTAAAAAATACGGCAATTGATCTGCCTTTTCTTTGGCTGCCCTTTTCTCCCCCAGTGGATTTTTTGCAGCTGTCCTTTTAACATCTCCATTGGTAGGAACTACAATCCACAGTATAATGGAGCCTGCCTACCATGCTCGAGACTAACGGATGTAAAGCACTGACTTGATTTTATGACCTGTTTTGTGGCAGTCATTAAAACGTTCCGGTTAAGCAAATGCTGCAGTCGTTAAGTAAAGCAATGATTCACTATTGGTGCATCTCAAGTCCGACCCTCGGCTGCCTTGTGGGTCAGCACTCGCCATGCCCCTCTGTCTCATACCGCCTCCTTCAGTCCACCATGGTCATCCTGGGGTCATCCTTTATAGTGTCCAGCTAGCAGGTGCTAGGTTCCTCTCCTCTTTACGGTGATCTGATCAGCATAACTGGTTTTCTTTTTGTTTCCAGTTTAACATTTTTATTGAGATATAAAATATTGTAAGATACAAAATAGAAAAGTAAATAGAAAAGGAGTGGGGAGGAAGAGTGGGAAGAGAAGTGAGGAAGGATAAGAAAAAGAAGCATTTGACTTATGACTCACTCTGCTGCAGTAAAATAAAGCATTAAAAATACAGATTAACAGAATTGGAAGGGACCTTGAAGGTCATCTAGTCCAACCCCCTGACTAAGTAGGAGACCCTACACCATTTCTGACAGATGGCAGTCCAGTCTCTTTAAAACTTCCAGTGATGAAGCTCCCACAACTTCTGTTCCAGGGTTGATTGTTCTCACTGTCAGAAAGTTCCTCCTTATTTCCATGTTGAATCTCTCCTTGGTCAGTTCCCAGCCATTGTTCCTTGTCTGGTCTTCAGGTGCCTTGGAGAATAGCTTGACCCCCTCCTCTCTGTGGCAGCCCCTCAAATATTGGAAGACTTCTCTCCTGTCTCCCCTGGTCCGTTTCCGAAGTGAAGGTGTGGGAGGAGTAACCAATGGTATTAACCCAGCCCTCTTGCCTAGGAGACTGAGGTAATCTTTTGAGGCCACACCTACGTTCCTCCTCTGACCTCCCCAGATTAACCTCAGTCTCCAGCCTGAAAGGAGCGTTACTCTGACTCTCCCTTCACTTTGAAGACTCTGAAGTGTTTTTCCTACAGGATTCCTTCACTACAGTATTTTACTTTATAGCTTCTTTGTTTCCATCTCTCCTCTGCCGTGCTCTGCGCTACTGGATCCAAGCCTTGCCGCTTGCCAGCATGTGCGCGCTCCCCGAGCGACT